ATGGATCGCGGACTCGCGTAGTTACATGGGGACGGGTCACCCACAGAGGGACACAATCCTCCCAGGGACACGTCATCCGGGGGACGGGTAACACCAAGGACAAACCTCCAGGGACACGTATCCGGGGGACGGGTACCCGAGGGACAAACCTCCCAGGGACACGTATCCGGGGGACGGGTACCCAAGGGACAAACCTCCCAGGGACACGTATCCGGGGGACGGGTACCCGAGGGACAAACCTCCCAGGGACAAGTGCCCGGAACGGAGAGGCATCCAAAGAGCACACATCCCCAAACAAATCCCAGAGATCAGAGCGCCACTGAACAAAATCTAACACTGGCCACTTATACATCAGGCTGATTTTGAGGTCAATACATTGCAATACAGTCTATCTAATCAAATATAAATTATTCCATTGATTACAATATTGCCTCTTAATGCAGGAAAGGGACAACCATATCTTTATCTGGCTTATCAAAGATACTTTAATTGCCTTTTCTGTCACAGATGGCAGTGGACGAAATACTGAATGGGAAATGCGTACAGGCCAAGGTAAGGTTCATGACGTAAGTATTACGTTAGAATCGAAAAATTACAAGACATAAATTGATCTAACGTATGTATATATATATATAATATATATATATATATATATATATATATATATATATATATATATATATATCTCCCGATATACACAAAAATCATTCTCAGCTCTGACTCTCGGAAACCTGGAATCCGTAAATTTTCTTTCTTTTTTTCATGTAAGGATCACGTGACCTCAACATTGGTGAGCCCGACATGCGGTTAGCCATAGTCATCATGCGGTCATGCAGAGGGTTGGAAACAGGACAGAAAGGGGGGATGGGGTAGGGGAGGGGGGAAGCGGACGATGGGGGGAGTGGGAGGAGGGGAGGGGTCTTTACATTACAGAAAGGGGGGGAAACTTTTAAAAATGACTTTAGAATACTCTGACTGATTCCTATGCTTTTGTAAATAATGTATGAATTATATATTCAATAAAAAAAATATATTTTCCATATGAAGATTTCTTTTCTTCAGATAAATGATAGATAAATGAATGACATAGAGTAATGAGAAGGAAGGACAGATTATGAAGAGCTGCAGGTACCAACATAGATGGTACAGTGACTGAGGTACCATAAATAAGGTGCCAAAGTTGAGATTATACGGTTTAGGTATATGGTACCTCAAATAAATTTATAGATATCATCAATTTGACGAATTCCTCATATATATTTTTTTTCAGCGATATGTAATAAGAAACTGGAAAATTAATGATATATAACATTAATGGCATGAAAAATATTCAACCTTATATTAAATAACACATGACAAATCTTGATATGATATATCACGTATAATTAAATCAGTAAAAGTATATCTAACTAAACACCTTTTTAATTCAGTTTTTAGATTGTTTATTCATCTTTTTATTCACCCAAACGCAGCGGCGGATCAAAAGTAACGACAACAATAATTATGAAAATAATGACAATCATAATAATATTAAAAATGATGATAATGCTAATATTGGTAATCATAATATCAACAACGACAAGAACAGTCATGATAACAGTAACAAGAATAAAGACAATGGTAATTACATTATCACCATAAAAAATAGCATCAGTTGTTTATCTATACTGATTACTATCTTTGTTTCATTACATTTTTTGTATAAATATTTTTTTCTTTGGATCCGCCACTGCTTTACCGAGAACTTACCTTTTCCACATAAAAACATTTTTTAACTAATCTTCATATACATAAAACTTCTAAATAAAATAACGTGCAGACTTCTGAATTGCCAAACTTATTAAAAGAAAAAATAATCCTCTCTCTCTCCACTCTCCTTCTATCCGTATCTCCTCTCCCTCTATCTTCCCTCTTTCTCCCCTCTCGAGTCCCTCTCTCCCCACTCTCTCCCTCTCCTCCTCTTCATCCCACCCTTCCCTCTTTATCATCCTTTCCTCTCTCTCCCCTATCTTTCCTCCACTCCATCCTACCCTTCTCTTCTCTTTTTCTTCCCCTTTCTCTTTTTACCTTCTCTCCCTCCCCTCTTTCCTCTATCCCCTCCTTCTCTCACCCTTTCTTTCTTCTCTCCCTCCTTTTCTCATCCCCCCTCTTTCCTCTTCTTCCTCCCCGCCCTCTCTCCTTCCCTTTCTCCCATCTTTCCCTCCCTCCTCTCTCACTCCCCCCTCCAACCCACCCTTCTTCTCTTCCTTCTCCCCCTGTCTCCCCTCTATCCCACCCTTCCCCTCTCATTTTTACCCTCTCTCCCTCCCTCCCACCCCACCCCTCTCCCCTTTCTCCTTTCCCCCTCTCTTCTTCCTCTCTCTCCTCACCTGATTCTTGGCCTTATCCGGGCTGGCGTTCTGCGGGGGGTCGGCTGGGGGGCGGGGGTTTCTTGCTCGTCTTCACTGTCTTTGTTCCTTGTTCCGGTGTCTTTGTCTTGCTGGGTTTGTTGCGTCCGTCGCTCATGAGGACGGAGAAGAACTTCTTCCTCTGCCTCATAATCTTTTCCTGCTTCTCTTCGTCCTGTTGGTGAGGGATTGGGTTAGAGGAGGGGTGAGGGTGGGAGGAGGAGAGGTGAGGGTGGGAGGAGGAGGAGGGTGAGGGGAGGAGGAGGGGTGAGGTGGGGGAGGAGTGTGGGTGGGAGGAGAGAGGAGAGGGGGATTGGGTTAGAGGATGGGTGAGGGTAGGGGAGGAGGGGTGACGGTGGGAAGAGGAGGGGTGAGGGTGGGGGAGGAGGGTTAGAGGTGGGTGAGGACGAGTTGACGGGTGGACATACTCACTTATTACTCATTTATTCACACATTCACTCAATCAGTGTCAATTTCTCTCACACATACACAGTTATATCGATAATGATTTACCTTTAGTCCATAAATCTAGAGCCAAATTATATCATATATATATATATATATATATATATATATATATATATATTCATATCTACATATATATATACGTATCTATATCTATACCTATCTATATCTGTATGTCTGCATGTATGTGTGTATATGTATATGTATATCTGTATCTGGTTTCCCTCTCTATCTGTGTGTGTGTCTGTGTTTATCTCTCTCTTTCTTAGCTAGTTTCTTGGGTTTCTTTTGATTTCTTTTCATGTTTCTCTTTCTATTCCCCTATCCCTCCCCCTTCCCCTTCCCCGCCGCCCTTACCTCCGTGTGCGGGATGAGCTCTGCGGGCGGCTGGTCCTCGGGCGCGGGCGGGTCGTAGAGTGGCCCACTGCGGTACTTGTCGCTGAGACTCCTCCCGGGCCTTCCGTCGGGCGAGCCTCGTTCGTCGTTCTCGTCGTCGTAGTCGCCGTCGGGATGCTGGTCGTCGTGGTCGTTGCGGCGCTCGTCCGGCGACTCGTCGTAGGCCGCCAGGTCGTCTCGGGAGCGGGAGCGGGCGGCCTCGCGGTTGCGGTTGTCGCGGGAGTCTCGGGAGTCCTTGGAGTCGCGGCGCTTCGTCCCGTAGCCGTTGTGGGCGTCGACGGACACCTCCCTCGTCTTGGTCTCGCGGACGTCCCTGCTGCTGTGGCGCACCTGCCGCGGCGTCGTGTCCAGCCGCTCGCGCGACCGGTCAAGGTGCTCGCGAGATCGATCTAGCCGCTCGCGCGACCGAGCCAGCTGCTCGCGGGACTTGCTCAGCTGCTCGCGCGACCGGTTCAGCTGTTCCCGGGAGCCTCGCCGGTCCCTGAGGGAGGTGGTATCCTCCAGGACGTCGGGAAGGCCTCGGCGAGGGCGGCTGTCCTCCCGCACCTCCTTCTGCTCGCTGCGGTGGTACTCGTCGCGCTGCGTCCGTTCGTGGCGGAACTCGTCCTTGGCGTCGTCCGGACGGCGCTCGTCGCGCGGCGACGGCCGGTCTTCGGACGAGGACCCGCGGAACTCGGTGAACTTGGCCAGCGGGTCGACGTCGGGCTCGTCCTGCGGGCGCGGGTCGTAGAAGAACTTGATCTTGATTCGCTTCTTCTTCTTTTCCTTCTTCTCCTCCTTCTGCTTCGAGGCCTTCGCCGCGCGCTCCTTCTCCAAGTTGTTCTTCCTGTTCCTCTCCATCGTGGGCGGGTCTTTGCGCTGCTCTCGGGGGCGGGACGAGGTGCCCTCCCTGTGGGCACGTGTGGGCGTGGTCTCCCTGTGTCCGCGTGTGGGCGTCGCCTCCCTGGGAAGGCGCGTGGGCGTACCTTCCCTGTGTCCGCGCGTGGGCGTCGTTTCTCTGTGCCCGCGTGTGGGCGTCGTTTCTCTGTGCCCGCGCGTGGGCGTGGGCTCACGATGTCCACGCGTGGGCGTCGTTTCCCTGTGGCCGCGGGTCGGCGTCTGCTCCCTGTGCCCCCTGGTGGGCGTCGCCTCGCGGATGGCGTGGTTCTTCTCGCGCGGCGGCTTCTGCGGCCGCGGCAGGCTGTCCTTGTGCGGCTGCGAGTGGACGCGCTCCGTCACGGTCTCGCTGCGCCGCGAGCGGTGGTTGGTGGTGCGCGTCACGGAGGTGGACTGCGACTGGTTGGACACCACGAGCGACTTCTTGCCGGTGTCCTCCATGACGAGGCTGAGGGCGTCCACCTCGTCGATGGTGAGGGGCATCATCTCCTCCGGCCGGTAGGGGATGACGCCGCTCTCCTTGATCCCGATGCGGCCGTTCCTCGCTTCTTCTTCTTCCTCCTCCTCCTCCTGCAGCTTTTCCCGCTGCATCACCTGGTCTCGGATTCTGGCCAGCGGGTCCACCGTGCGCCGTCGGTGCTCGGCCTCGGAGTCGGACGTGTCCGAGAGCAGCGGCACGACGTTCCGGCGCGGCTGGCGGGTCTGCGGCCTCCTGAGCGGCGGCGAGGGCGAGCGGTCCGTGCGCCCGAAGCCGTGGTTCACCTGCCGCACCAGCGTCGCCGACGTCAGGTTGTTGTGGATGTTGCCTCCCCGCTGGTGGTGCTTCGAGCTCGGGTAATGGTCCGGCTCGCGCTCGTAGTGGTAGTTCTGGTGGTGCTTCTGCTCGTTCTTGATGTGCTGCGTCTTCACCTGGTACTGCTTCTGCTGCGACTGGTGCTGCCGCGTCGGCGAGGGGGACGAGCTCTTGTGTGTCTTGCGCGACCTCGACGGCGCCTTCGGCAAGGCGTCCGTCTGAACGCCGACGGACGACATGTTGATGTTGTTGTTGGACTGTTCCTTGTATTCCTCCAGGAGGTCCTCAGAGCTGAGCATGCGCGCCGGCATGATGTCCTCGTGCAGGAGTCTCTTGATGTTGTCCTCCGGCACCTGGTAGCTCTCGTAGGCGTCGTCGTCCTCCTGGTAGTGGTTCTTCGCGTCGCGGAAGTGGTCGTCGTACGGGTCCTGGAACGGCCGGTGGTCGTCGTCGGTGATGATGATCTTGGCCGAGTACTCGCGCTCCTGGCGGGCGTTGCGGTAGTTCCTCTCGGCGTCGCGCGCGTCCTTCTTGTTGACTTGAGCATAGACGGGGGCGTCCCTGGGCGGGGAGTCGCGCGGGGGGGAAGCGCGGGGCGGCAGGTCCCGCGTGGGCGAGAGGCGCCGCACCGTCTGCACGGTGGCCATCGGGAGGCTGCCGGTGTAGCTGAAGGGCTGGTTGTTGTTGTGGTTGCGGAAGCGGTCGGGCTCCAGCGTCCCGCGCGGACTCACGTCCATCTCGGTCTCCAGCAGGACGTTGGAGTGCCGCGTCCCGTCGGACTCCGCGTTGAACTTCTTGATGATGTTCCCGACCTTGTTCTTGTAGGGCTTGGGCCGCGACATGTCCGCGTCGTCGCTGTCGGAGAGCGTCGTGCTCGGCAGGTGACCCACGGACTTGAAGCCTTGCAGCCGCCCGCCGCCCACCTGGCTGTGCTCGGTCAGGTTGTCCACGGACTTGTAGCCGGCGCTCTGTGCTCGGTTCAGCTTGGCGCCGTGCTCATCCCGCTCGTAGAGGGCGTCGATCGACTTGTAGCCGATCCGCGGGTCCGGGTCGCGCCCCGCCAGGTGCTGGTACTTGTACGACTGCGCCTCGTTGTTGTCGTAGTAGACGGCGTTGAGGTCGGGCACGGACTTGTGGCCGGCCAGGGGGTGCGGGCGGCGCGCGAGCGGGGGTGAGTCCAGGTCGGAGTCCGGCAGGTGGTCGGCCGAGCGGTGGCGGTGCGCGAGCGGGCCGCCGTTGGGCAGGGGGGAGGGGGAGGGGTGCGCGGCGCGGTTGACGTCGCCCTTGACGCGGCGGTTGATGGGGTTGGCGGTGCGCGCGGGGGGCAGCGTGCGCGGGCGCCCTCGCGGCTCGCCGTTCAGCACGTTGGTGTTCTTGGGCCCGGCGTTGTTGCGCACGTTGTTCACGATGACGTTGTTATAGTGGTGGTGCGCGAAGTTCTTGTTGTTCTTGTGCTTGGGGCGGTCGAGCGAGCGCGTGTTGTGCGCGAGCGCCGCGCCGGCCGTGTCGCAGTTGACGTGGTCCAGCAGCTTGACGAGGTCCTCCGCCTGCTGCTCCAGCTCGCGCGACGACAGGTTCACGGGCTCGCGGTGCACGGCTGCGCAGTGCGCCCACTCGTCCTCCTGCGGCGCGCGCACCAGGTTGTTCTTGATCTGCTGCTGCTTCTGGCCGCGTGGGATGTGCTTCACGCCCACGTCCTTGTTGAAGGACACGCGCTTGTCCGAGCGCTCCGACTTGAGGGACTCCGTGCGGACCACACGGGCGTGGTTGCGAGGCTCGGGCGGGCCTGCGGGCCGCACCATGGGCATCGTGATGGGTGCCCTCACTCGCGCCCGCGCCTCGTACGCCCACGCCCCATATCACGACGGGGACACACTGCGGCGACACATCCACGGTCCGGCTGCGTCGGCGGGGCGGCTCACTGGCGGCTCGGGCGTCCGTCGGCCAGGCGCTCCTGCAAGAGAAACAGCGATTAGGCACGGCATGGGCGCGCAGGAGGGCAGTCCTCCCGATTCCCCGGGTCGAAACCGGGTCCCAGATGCGTCATGCGGCGTGGGCGGCGCCCCTTGGTGTAGGCCGACGCCCGAGGGCTGGGTGTTGGCGGCGCCGGCGCTGCCGTCCACGGGGCGGCGGCGCAGAACACCTTTTTGCGGTGGCTGGAATGCGTGCCCGCTTTACTGATTACCCCGAGGCATGTTTCTGAAATAAGGATGACCCGAAATCCTGCCTCCGCAATACTAATTTCCCCAAAACCAATCTATGGAAGACTGCAACGCTCGCCCTCATGCGAACCACAAGCAGGGTGAGGCCGTGAAGACGCCGCTATGACTTGCTTAGTCACGCAGACTTGGTATTTAAAGACAGAGCCTTCGTAGTGTATTTCTTTCAGACCTGTAGACATGACATCAACCCTTTTCGGAAATAATTTCAATCCCGTAGTCCTGCTCATTAATACTTTTTTTAATATCATCCCTTTTCTATTATTTGCCTCTCTTCTCCATATCTTTCCATATCTCTCATAAGTCAATAAATAGAAAAAGATAAATAAATAAATAAATGACCACAAAAACAAACACACTCACACACACACACACGCACACACACACACATAATCACACGCATACACAGCATATCACTGTCATCACATTAGGCCGGAGATGTGAGAAAGACGAGCAAAACACCTCCGTTATGACACGTAATTATATAGAAGGGAAGCGTCACTGCCAAAACACTTTTTTTTTTTTTTTTTTTTTTTGAGCCTCCTGTACCTCTCTCCCATTCCCATCCTCTTCAACTTCATCCTTCTCCTCCTATCCCTTTCCTTTTTCCTCCCTCCCCTCCTCTTCCCCTTCGCCGTGCCACCGCCTTCCTCCATACCTACCACCCCCCTGCCCTGCTTCTCCTCCCTTCACTCCCTCAACGCCCTCCCTTACTCCTCCCTCCTCCCAACTTTCTCCTTACCTCCCAACGCTCCCTTCCCTTCCTACCTACCCCCCCCCCTGACCTGCTCTTCCTCCCTCTCTTCCTCCAACCCCCTTGTCTTCCCTCTCTTCCTCCAACCCTCCTTGTCCTCCTTTACTCCTCCTCCTCCTTTGCTCCCCAACTCCCTCCTACCTCCTCCACGCTCCCTTCCTTCCCTCCTCCTCCTCCCCCTTTCTGTTCTCCACCCTAGAATGACGAAGCATGAACTAACCGAAGATGGATAACTAATTTCGCAACATTAATATTTTCTTTAATATAATATAATATATATATATATATATATATATATATTATATATATATATATATAATATATATAATATATATATATATATATATATATATATATATGCATATATGCATATATATATATATATATATATATATATATATATATATACATACATAAATGTATATATACATATATATATGTATATATATATATATATATATAGTATATATATATATATATATATATATATATATATATATGTATATATATATATATATATATATATTATATATATATATATATATATATATATATATATAGAGAGAGAGAGAGAGAGAGAGAGAGAGAGAGAGAGAGAGAGAGAGAGAGAGAGAGAGAGAGAGAGAGAGAGAGAGAGAGAGAGACTCACCTCCTACAAATAAAACAAAGAATGAAAATCTAATTATACACACAAATAAAGATAATTATACATACACACACACACAGCACAAACAGACCTACATGAACACCTAAACGAAATAAAAACACCAACAGTAACAACAACAGACATACAAAAACAAACAAACATAAAATTGATATATACCAAACCACAAAGGTTCGCCATGTCAAGAAGCACGTACAAGAGATGGGCGTGACAGCAACAGTGGGCGTGTGTGTGGGCGTCCCCTTGGCAACTCGTCACCCAATAAGAACCGTAAAGACAACCCAATATAGAAAATGGGAATAATACATCACTGTCAAAATAGAAGGGATGACTGAAGGAAAGCAAGAAAGGGTGGGAGAGATAGGGGAAAGATGGAAGGGGAAGAGGGAGGAGGGGAAGGGATGGAGGGAAGGAAGGAAGGGGAAGGGGAAGGGGGGAGGGGAAACAGAGGGAAGGAAGAAAGGGGAGAGGGAGGGGGAAGGCAAGGAGAATGAGGAAAGGAGAGGGAAGGGGAAGAGAGGGGGGCGGAGGGAAAGAAGGGGAAATGGAGAGGCATGGAAGGAAGGAAGGAAGGAAGAGGAAAGGGGGTGATATGGAAGGAAGGATAAAGAAAGGGAGAGAGAGAAGAAAGGAGGAGGGGGGATGAAGAAGAAAAGTTGAGAGGAAGGAGAGAGGGATAAAGAAGGAGAGAAGAAGAGGGAGGAAGGAAGTGGATAAGAAAAAGGAGAAAGAAAAGGAAGAGGTTGAGAGGGATAAGGAAGAAGAAAGAGGAAGAGAGAGAAAGAGAGAGAGAGAGAGAGAGAGAGAGAGAGAGAGAGAGAGAGAGAGAGAGAGAGAGAGAGAGAGAGAGAGAGAGAGAGAAGAGAGAGAGAGAGAGAGAAAGAAAGGATAACATAAAGAAGAAGAAGAAAAGAAGACCAGAAAACTAAAGAGGAAAAACGCAGGAAGAAAGAAGAGAGAAGAGAAATATGAATGGAGAGAGAACGGGAAGAGACGACAAGAATAATGTATACTATGTTATCATCATCACTATCGGTCTTCTGAATATCATTATCAGGTCAGTCCACTGTCAAGAGACCGGCCAAAGGGAAGAGGTCAAAGGTCACAATGGACGAGCATCCATTGAGAATTGACCTTTCTCAGAGTTGCATTTCTCCCTTTTTCTTTATTTCTCTGTCTCTCTCTCTTTTCTCTCTTTCTGTCTCTCTCTCTTTTCTCTCTTTCTGTCTCTCTCTCTTCTCTCTTTCTGTCTCTCTCTCTTTTCTCTCTTTCTGTCTCTCTGAATTCACATTGTTTGATGTACTTATATATATTTTTTTCTATTAAGTTAACATAAATAATGCAATGAAATCGCAAAAACAGTAATAATTATAATATCAATGATACGAACAGCAGACACGATAATAATTCTTAAAATATATAAAAAAAAAACGATGAAAATAATAG